GAAATTTCTTTTCAATTAGTTTTTCTTCATGACTTTACACTAATATATATATGTTTTACAATAATAATAATATAATAATAATAATAATAATAATAATAATAATATATTTCTGCATGTGCAGGTACACACCGTTTTTACAGGCATGATCTATAAATTACAACATTTGTTGGTTCGCAAAATGCTTCCCAACTTATTAAGTTTATAGTTGTTATAAAGTGAGATCGTAGAGCGCTTGCTGTAAACTATGACCTTGAGAGGACGCGTACGTTAAGTTTGCTCCAAACGTCAGAAGTTTCATAGTTGTGCTCTCAGAGCAAGATTCTGAAGGAGAAAAAAAAAGAAACAGAGGAGCAGCAAGGCACTTGGATATGAACGCCAAAGGTTGCTTAACATTGTGTAGTAGAACGGACAGAGGTAGAATAAATTAGAATAAATTCATATTATGTCTTGTTAGAGTGAAGTGAAGTCAGAGGCTCCATATTAGAAAATGTACTAATAAAGAACAACGAGTAGTGATGTTTAACAAGTTGGAGTAAGCTCACATGAAGGAAGGGAAGTCAAGGTTGGTACAAGGGAAGCGGTTTATTAGAAGGGTGTATATATAGAGGGTGAAGTGTTAAGAATACTAGTGACTATATCTTTTTTTGTCTTTTTTCTTTTCTTTTTTTGTCCATCCGATGTCAGCCACGCAATCCTAGTGTAAAAGTCCGAGTTAGCATGTTATAGGTTGTCTTAGTAGAATAGCTAATCCAGCATATTATTGGAAACATGAGTCTGAGTGGTGAGCGTAGGAAGACAATCTATATCTTAGATTGACTGTCTTATTCTCAATTATAAAGAGCCTGATACATACTCATCGAGTGGATACGTTACGTAATAATTACATAATGACATGTAAATTAACATTGAGTAATTGGAAGAAATAGGATTATTAATATTCAAAGTAATTATTAAATCACGAAGTTGCTACGTTGCGTAATATATGAAAAGAGAAGGAACGGAATTCTAACGGATGGTCAATAGGATAGTAGTTACGTAAGAATCAAGAGATGGATGTTGAGAAGTTATAAAGTTCAAAAGCAACAGAAACAAAATTGCAAAAGTTAAAAAAACAAGCGGAAGAAGTATGAAAAACAGTTCTTATGACGGAAATCTTATACTGAAGGCCAGGGCGGAGAAAGTGATTGTACGAATTTCTTTTAGATGCAAAGGTCAGGTTTGCAAACGTGGATTGCGATGGCTTCCGCAATGTGCAAAAGGCGCACTCGTAAACCATGTGGTAGACTTGATGGAATGTTGTAGATAACCTTAAAAGCTTTGTTCAATTCAACTTGATGACCTGTGTCAACCAAGTGAGAGAGAATAGAACTTTTAATCACTTTCACCTGTAGGGCCAGCGAAATGTCACTAGGCCCTAGTCAAATCATCCGGCAGTTGGGTCATTGAATATCGAGGAACTCATCGATCCTCTCAAGGTCAGTGACAACCAACGCGCATCGGTTAATCGTATGCCATGGAATGGCCCGTGCGGCAGTGATCTTAATTTCGATTGTATCTACTTTAACTAATATATTTCTGCAATAACGTCCTCTGTGTTATACAGTCTTCAGAGCATCTTTGGTACCTTGATACGTCGATGGGGCAGTCCACGTAAGGTGCTGACCATGAGGTGTGACTTCGACATTAGCTAGTTTGTCACATATTTCACGTCTAACTCGAGTAGGCATCCAGTCATTTTGACATAGATCATCCCCGTTGGTGATTTACACACCTGTCCTTTGCTTAGCCATGTCGGATGACGTTCTGTAATGCGGTGACGGACCTGTCGAATTGTACGCCCTATGTAACTGGCTCCACAGGAACATTTGAAACGATAGATACACATAGATTTGGCGAATTCTGGCAGTCTGCCTTTAATGGATGTTCTTATTTTCGGGTGGTTGTAGAAGATGACATTTAATTTTGCAGCATTAAATGTTTTTTGTACAGCTCTTCATAGTTTCTGAGTCATGACTTCTTCAATGGTGTCATGCATGAATTGTAGTTTTATGAATAATACCTTCTTGGGGACGGTGGGTATTTTTGTCCTTGTTTTCTTCTCCGTCATATGTTTATCGATGAATTTCATGGGGTACCTACTCAGACTGAGTAGGTTCCGAACATTGTTCAGTTCTTCTTCAATGGTGTCTTCAGAGCAGATCATTCTAGCACGATATGTCAAGATCTTTATCAAGTTCCTTTTGTATCTGATTGGAACTGCACTGTGGAAATGAATGCTCGATATTCAATGACCCAACTGCCGGATGATTTGACTAGGGCCTAGTGACATTTCGCTGGCCCTACAGGTGAAAGTGATTAAAAGTTCTATTCTCTCTCACTTGGTTGACACAGGTCATCAAGTTGAATTGAACAAAGCTTTTAAGGTTATCTACAACATTCCATCAAGTCTACCACATGGTTTACGAGTGCGCCTTTTGCACATTGCGGAAGCCATCGCAATCCACGTTTGCAAACCTGACCTTTGCATCTAAAAGAAATTCGTACAATCACTTTCTCCGCCCTGGCCTTCAGTATAAGATTTCCGTCATAAGAACTGTTTTTCATACTTCTTCCGCTTGTTTTTTTAACTTTTGCAATTTTGTTTCTGTTGCTTTTGAACTTTATAACTTCTCAACATCCATCTCTTGATTCTTACGTAACTACTATCCTATTGACCATCCGTTAGAATTCCGTTCCTTCTCTTTTCATATATTACGCAACGTAGCAACTTCGTGATTTAATAATTACTTTGAATATTAATAATCCTATTTCTTCCAATTACTCAATGTTAATTTACATGTCATTATGTAATTATTACGTAACGTATCCACTCGATGAGTATTATATTATTATTGTAAAACATATATATATTAGTGTAAAGTCATGATGAAAAACTAATTGAAAAGAAATTTCTTCGCTCAATTCGTTCCTTATTTTTTTAAATTTTGAGTCAGAATTTTCACTCGCATTATATCAGTCAGCATAAAACCATATGCATACTACTGTTAACGAATCGCATGAACAGTAGGCTGGAAGTTATTTTACATTAAACAAATATCTCTTATATCACCTAATTATCTACTTAATAGCCGTTTAGATATCGTTTGACTTCGAAAATAATGGTTCGGAATCAGTCTTTCTGATATTTTGACGAGGAGTATTCACTACTGTTTTTTATATCGAATTTATTGGTCCTAAGTGATGTGTCAAACCACTTTTTCTGGTTCTTACAAGTAGGCACTCCATTTGTGTAAAAGTGAAGCTTAATTCAAGAGATCGTGTTTTACAAAGCTGATGTTTGCGTCGCTGCTTCAGTTTACTTACGTTGGGGCTGCAGATTGCTGAGTCGTTTATCCTAACTTCCTGACGGATTTTCTTTAAGTGTCATTATGCTACTAATTGGGCCTGCCGTGGGTGTAAAGCCTGAATAAACAACCAGCACTTGGCAGTGCTATTATGTGAATGTTATCTCTGCGTATTAATTCCAAAATAACTGAAGCCAAACGTCTAGCGTGGTAGTGTAAAAACGTATACGTGAATTATAGATTCATGTATCCAAACATATGAAATCTAAAATAACTGGTTATCGTCAGAAATTCGTTATTGTTATTATTTTATTGTTTTTTTATTCGATATTATATTCCTTGTACAATATAGAATTCTAAGAACAAAGTACTTCAACAAGTATCCGTTTCTCTTTTTTTTGATCATTCCTGACAATAAATGCTAAGTGGTCGCCAATTAGATGTTAGCAGTGTCTCTATGCTACCATCAGAACCTTAAAAGACTTATTGGTAAACTGTTAGAGAAGTGAAAGTACTTTTTTGGTATAGTGTCAAGATGAGCTAATTAAAAATAACGTCTGTAATCCTCTCGTTATACAACACTGGCATATATTTGGTTTGTTCTATATCTGTCGTTGGAAATTATTTTCGCACAAGCTTAGGAAAAACACCATGAATTAACTTATTTACTGAACTAGTTCATCAGGAGGGACAGCAACTGAGAGACTATACATTGTTTAAATCGCTGCCCCGGGCAACAGGTGGTTTAAAGTAATGTGACTGACTTGGATCACGTTGAATCAGTGACTGTGCAAACTTTGACAGTGATCCTTTGCTCACCAGTCTATCGTTACTTGTGAGATCACCTAATATCGAAAATCCACTTTCCATGGTTTCAAGAAGCAACACCCCTCTATCAAAAATATAGTAACTATTTTAAGCAGGTATACCTGTGACCTCAAAAGCAATGATAACAGGGATGTCATGCATGATACGGTCGGCCATAATAATTTTTTGGAATGCTCCACGCACAATGGCAACTTAAAACTGTTGGTTGACTGGTTTAGATCATCTTCGCAGGGTACATCATTTATATTTACGCAAATTATGCGTTGCATCAACGCACAGAATCCCAAAATGGGTTTAAATAGGACATAGACAAAATAATTTCAATATGCACTGACAGTGTGGACCAACATGAGTGTTTTTTCCTTTCCCTTTCCGACAAAGAAAAGACAGGAATAGAACGGTTAAGCCATTTCGAAAATAGATCTAACTTTTTGACATTCTGGCTAAAGTTCAAAATTTCTATGTAATTGGCCAAAACTTTTAGGTTTCTTCACTACTTATTTGCAAATTATAAACCCAGTTATCTTTATGAAGTGTTGCCTAGTACATATTTGCTTTACGCGGACTGAGATACATGTAGATATTTTGTTATTACTGATATAAAAACAAGTCGACATTTTTCGCGAATCTTACTTCGCTATGTAGAGTGCAGTTGATCATATTTTTTTCCTTTCTGTGAATGAAAGTGCAATACTTCACTTTCTCAGAAATTTTCACTGAGTTCAGTGGGTGAAAATTTTCGATGAGTATTTTATTTTAATCATTTAAAGTTAGCTATATACTTTCCAACCTGTAGTTATCCAACTCATCAGTTCAGATCGTACCCCGATGACAAAGTATGCATCATTTGCTTCGTCTCTGTAAGTCGTGCTAAATACCACCTTGTTTAATTTTTGGTTTTATCGTAGTTATAACGTAAAATTCAATAAATTCTTCAGCCGTCGCGAGATATATGCAGGTTATCAAATAAAGAAACATAAGGCATGATTTTACTGAAGAAGAGCTAAGGGCGATTCAACCAACAAAATTTCTTTTCCGACAGAATCATTTACTGGAGCCATACAATCGCATTTGTACTTAAATACTCTCAAGAGAACGACGAGTGAATCAGTCTTGAAGATCGCGCAAAGTTACTTACATGGGAAGTAAAAAGCGAACATACTTTCCTGAAAATCTGAAAGTGAGGTTTCATATTCAAGTGATCTTGTGACTTTATTTTCATATATTTTGCACTCAACTACCTTTTCTAAGGCTCTGAATTTATTTACTTACAGATCATTTTCAAATAATCTCATTTCTACTCCCTACGTTTATTGAGTAACAGAAATGATGCTTGCATTTCAACGGCTTCGCGATTTTAACTACAGGAATCACTGATCGATGTCCTAACTCTGGAAATGAAAGTCAGTCAAAAATCCTCATATTTAACCACAGGCTACAGGTCACAGAAGATGGGAAGGAATATTAGATAGCTATTAGAAGGGGTGAATGAAGTAAAATAGTGACTACTAGACAGAAAATCGCGGAAAACAGTTAGACGGTGAACAGAACTCTCTGATCCCATTTAATGTTCCACTGTGGGAAGACGGTCTCACGCAGGAAAGTGAGATTCCCAAAAATTAACATTGTCACAAATATTGCTCTCTGCATAGTGTGGGTACCACTCCAGGGGAATCGCAAAGTTTGTACATGGACCCAACTACAATTCAAAACAAACTACCTCCAGTAAGAGTAACCTTGAAATCAGTAAACGTGAAAGAGGAGTCTATTGATATCTTAGAGACTGGTAGTTAAATAGTCCTTGGACACCACATTTATGAATCGGAAACCATGGTCTTTAGGAGAGGCTGGAAGAAAACCGTCAACCACCAGTCAGGAGCTTTTAAGTGTGATTGTTCGTGAGGTAGCTGGGCCGATGTACTTGTGTACAGGCAAAGCTCAAGTGCAAGAAACAAAATAATGTTGGCGAGCATTACACAGCCGAGGCATGCATGAAACTACTACAATTGACATCTCCATACCTTCTCATCCATCAAACACCATGAAGATTAAGCTTTTCCATCTGATGGTTGTAAAATTCAGAAGTCAAGATAACTTGGCTGAAGTTTCTTAAGCTTGATAGAACTAGATGAACGATCGTTGCGGTTATATCCAACTCTGATTATTCGGCCTGATACTATCACCACAGAATAGTTATTTACAATCTTTAAGAGAGACATACGGCCACAGCTGAAATTTTACAGTCTTGTTGCGATTCTCTTTTTCAGAAGATAAAAAGCTGCTTCAGAACGAGCATAAGAGTTGTCAACAATTAATGTGATTGAACTAAAGAACGCATTTTGAGAAGATAGACTACAGAACTTGAGTTTATTCTCACTAAGCAACAAAAGTTTGGAAAAGGACCTGACAATGCAATATAATACACCAGGTAGACCAAACTATCCCAAAGACGATACCCTGTCAGAATCTCACAGTCAGGTTCCTAAAAACATCTCGAAAAAATGAGCTCCAGAGAAGGCAAACACAGGTTACCGACGTTCTTTCATTAAAAGTCCCCTATATCTGAAATAATTTCTCAGACAAATCGACCACAACACTCTCGGTAAAAAACAAATAAATATTTCTCTTAGATAAGCTAACCCCATTCAAATGTCGTAATTCTTCTATCACTATCGCTATCGTAAATTACCGGCATATTCCTTTCTCATTTCTTATCATCTCGATTTACGCATTATTCTCACAGCTTTGTGTGTTCATAACTTCGGACATTTGATTGACTAATTAATTTACTGCTATTAACCATCGTCTGACCATCACTCTTCCGAACTCGGTCTTTTTTTCTATTTTTACTCCGTAAGCCAGTTAAACCCTAACTAGTATTGTGACGGTTGCTGACTCCAGAAACCTACTTTCCTGAGACTAACGCTCTTGAACAGATTACAAAACACACAAATCCCCAAACAATTACTGAAATCACTAAAATAGTACAGTTGAGTACCTATACTACTCACTTTAGAAGCCACCAGTGACTTGGATCTGGTAAGAAACAATAGAGAGTGAGAGAACGAACATATCGTTTGACTTACAATAGCCAGTCATAAAAATATTGAATATTGGATAGGGAAACCAAATTATTTTTGATTGTCCATAAATATTAGTAAGGTATGTCTAAACAGTTAATCACTACTGTACGAGAATGATGTTCAAATGGACACAGGTTTATACGTAATAGTTGACGTCAGAAGTTATGTGCCAAATGGGAGGTAGTTGATTGTCGGTGATGGCATATAACCCTACTCTTGACACATCGCATTAAAAAGTTAAAGATTATGTTCCACACTAAATAGAAGGGAGCGAAAAGATCATAGACCACAAGTGAAGTCGATCCAAATGTCTGGAATGAAGTTAACAAAGTTACACGACCGACAATGAACCTACTAGATGATACTAAATTACAAGTATTTAGAATGAAAAAGAACTAACAAACTAGGCAGATTAATCTTGACAGCACTTTAAAAAGACATGGAGCAAGTTAGGATACATTTTTCTAGTCTACTACAAGTTTCAAGTATGAAGAAGTGTAGGCTATTTCCCAATTTTATGTAAAACAAAGACTTCCTCTGCCTTCTGCTACATCACATACATTACCGAAGTGGGAAAGACAGTGATATATTTATATTAATGTTAAAGATGTTACGGATATACAGTGCTTGAAAACACTGTTGTCACCAATGTCCTAGACAGCCAGTGAAACGCCACTATGCCCTAGCCAAGTCATCCGGCAGTCGGGCCACTGAGTGTAGAACAGTTCACCAATCCTCCCCAATGCCAAGGACAAATAACGCGCATTAATCAGTTGCACACCATGGACTGGCTCATGCGTCAGTGGTTCCAGTTTGTCTCTTGCACCCACACTTACTAATCTATTTCTGTAATATAGTTGTTTGTGTTGTACGGTCATCAAAAAAGCCATAGCACCTGGATACGAGAAAGGGTAAACTACGTTCGGCATAACTCTGAGGTTTGAGTTCGCCGTTAGCTGGTTGGCCATGCTATCCCTAACCAACTGTAGTAGGCCCTCAAGCATCGACATAGATAACCTAAGTTGGCGACCTATATACATTTTATCTGAAGATCCTAAATACAGTCAACCCGAAACTCGGAAATGAAAGGGTACGAAGATTTACCTAGAAAATATTTGGTGCGTTAAGAACTATCTTGTAAAACCTGACTAGTTGTAGTGAGAGATGCGAAGCACAGCGTACCCAGTAGTGATCCGGTGCGAATGCCTGACCGAAAGCCTTTGACTTAGGGCATGTCTAGCAAAAGTAATTAAATGAGCATCAACGACGAAAGCTTGCAACGCAATTTACTTTGAGGATTTACTTATTACTCTAACATACTTTCTTGCATAACATTACTTCGTGTACGAAATATCTCACGTTATTTTGAAGTCTTTATGTATTATAACATCAATGGCTTCAGAATAACTGGTTGGTAATCATGGATGTAAAAGATGTGGAAAACTAGTGGATGACAAATGTACTTTCTTCTGTGCATATAAATTGGGGTTAAATGTACGAATTCCTATGGCTTCAGGTATATGTATGAGACGGGGTCTAACATCCTTGGGAAACGATTGAGGTATACGATAGATTATACGAAATGATTTCGATTTATCTACATTATGACCACTATCAATTAGATGTGCCAAGAGGGAAATGCGTATTGTTTTTATCTGGTCGTTCACAAACCATGCCAGTAGATGTCCGCTCATTCGTTGGTTAAGATGCATGATAGTACGCCCACTTTATGTGTACAGAGGAAACTCGTGACCACCCTATTTTCTATGACCAGATATAACCTGACAAACGACTTTTTTGTTGTCATTAGCATTGTTTTCACATCCTCTATTTATATGTAATTTTCCAATTCTCCGTTTGTATTCTTCGTTATATAATTATTTACACACTTTTTATTACGTAATGGATTTAATGTTTATTATTATTATTTCAAGTCTATTAATCCATGTTTGACCCACTATTTCCAACATTGAACTATTGAGAAGACTTTTTTTATCATATCCTTATTATTATTCTTACTACTATCAGTAAACCTGTCTTCTTACTATCAACTTGTACATTTGCCTACTATGTGAGGTGACGTAATCTACTTCATTGTGACTATTGATTCGAATTGCCTTGATTGGTTCAAAATTTTCGTATAAATGTTCATGTACTTACTTCCGATGGAGTATAGCTCGCTAACCAACATTCTCCCAGCCCCTCTGACCTGTGTCTTCTTTTCTAAATCTATCCAACTGTTGTTCATTCTTCCATTTCTCGGCGTAATCTGATTTTTGGCCAACGGATCCGAAGTAGATGTCTGTTAATAAACACTTGTATCTTCTAGATGTTGGCTTTCGTAGTCCTCCAAGTTTCCGCCAAACACAGTAGAACTGTCCAGACGTTCTTATTTTAAATTCTGACTTCGATGTTGCGTGACAGTTGCTTTGAGTTCCAGATGTTCTTCAGTTGTAAATATGCTGC